ACATCAACATAAGACCAAACAGAACCCCGATGTAATATAGAGGTAGAAGAGACATCTACACAAAACTAATACATCAGGACAAACATAAGAAAACCTTTTAAATATTGTGATATAACGTCTGAAAGCCGGTACAGTGGAGCCAGAGAAGACATTTATTACTCGGTAAATAGGTTACCGTGCCAGCGAGTACGCAAGCAACAATCGAGGTATCGTTGAGTTATAAAGATAGAAACGGCGTTTTCTTTTGGATCCGCTCCGAGATTATACATTAAGGATTCCAGGAAAGCTGAGATAGGATTAAGGAAGTCTCTTGAGACGGCAGTCGAAGATAGTTGAGAAGAGTAAGAAAGGAATAATTACTCTGCTAAAATCCGTTGCAAGAAAACGGTGAATGGAGACTGTAATAGACTAAGAACGCTAGTATGTATGTGTCAGTGATCTGAAAAGTGTAGTTCTGAGTGACGTGTACAAATGGTCAATAAATCCAAGTCACCAATCCATACCCCGTCTATAGTCACACACCCCTAAACATATGACAATAGGTTTAATTTTAATTATTTAACACTTTAACAATCAATATTTAATCTTAGATTTGAACCCACTTTTCGTATATAACGGCATTACATACTACTACAAAAACAGCGTTCAGTATATAAACACTGTCCAATGTGAGAACATTAGCAGATGTATACAGGTGACAGATTACTGATGAAAATGAACAGGTGAATGTAAAAAGTCAAATACTCGAAGATGGCTTAATGAGCTGAAACGCGTTTATGATAGAGCACTGGAACAAATCTCGTTTCAAATCATTGTAAATCCCATAACATTTTTTTTATTTCTCCATTAAATAAACAGCGATTCTTCAGGAGGCCATGGTTAGGCGTTGAAGTGCAGGTTCTAAAATGCGCTCATAACTTCATGTTACCTTATGTAGAAACGCGCCTACGGAGAATGCGTGCCGTACATACTTTCATACAGTGTTCATTCGAAATATTCTCACGATAAACACTGAGCGAGATACCGAGACAAATGCACGCAGTTTTCATGAAAAGTCGTTATCCTATTGTCCTGTGTAAATGAAAACTGAAAAGGCTTAACGAGTTTTCGTGAAACTTTAAATATCAAAAGATTCTCGAGTTATTCGTGCAGTTCGTCACGACTTCAAATTGGCCAGAACGCGTCCCACTTTTAGGGGAGTACACGTTTCCAGCAGACTTACGTATATACACGTACAAGCGGCATCTCATTTCCCGACAAATGCCGGAACAGACATGACATACAGTTCTATAAATTAAGGCGCTTAATTAAATACGCAGCGCGTCAGGAATGGCATATAGTAGAACGGAGGCGCGAGACGGGGGTTGATGGTTAGACCGACCGCTTCACCCCCGGAACCAACTGGACAGAAAGCTGGGTGAGCCCCAGAGCCGGCCTGGACACAAAATCTTCACTCCTGCTGGGAATCGACCCCCGTTCTCTCGTCGTCCATCCCGCAGCCTAGCTACTACAATGACTGAGCTACCAGGCTCATGACTTCGTGTAAGACATTTCATTACACCCCCTCGTAGGTATAAAGACCAAGATGTAGGTGGCTGGACAATATTAAAATGGATCTTAGATATGAGTAGGATGGAGTGGTACGGACTGGATCGATCTGGCTCACGATAGGGTCCAGTGGAGGCTCTTGTGAGCGCGATAATGAACCTTCGGCTTCCATAAAATGCTGGGAAGTTCTTGAGGAGCTGCATAAGTGGCGGCTTCTCAACAAGGGTTCATCTCCATCAGTAAGGATATATGGACTAAGGGAAGAGAGGCCCAGCAGCTGTTCCCAGATTCAAGAAATTCCATCAGTTTTATACAACCGAACGGTTAACCGTCGTGTTAACATGAGCTCGATGTTGTCGTATAGCCTAAGACAGATGAATGCAGTCCACACTCTCCAATCATATTTCTCTAATATCCATTTTAATATTAATCTACCATCAATGTCTAGGTCTTGGAAGCGGTCTCTTCCCTCAGGTTTTCCTATCAAAACTTCGTGATGCTTTCCTATCATGCCTGCTACATGCCTCTCCTACTTCATTGTCCTTGATTGTAGCATTATAATTCTGACAAACAGAAAAGTTATGGACTTCCTCATTACACAGTTCTCTCCGCCTTTCTGTTATCTGGTCCCCTGTCCCTTCCGTGTACAGTTACTGTTCACCTGCCTGTCCTCAAACGTCTTCATCACTGTCACGCTGAACGGTTCCTGCTCAGTCTCCAGAACACGTGTTCTGACGGAAGTAACTCTACAGGAATCAATGAGTAACAGGGGACATGAGAAATGCCATGGGTTCAGAGAGTACATAACGACTCCACGGCGCAGATATCCATGTGTGACATTGTTACCCGTTCTGTGCGTTTAATTCCCATAACTAGTGAGCGGGAGCAGACTATGTTTCATTTTGTGCTTCTGGGATCAACTCAGTTTCTAACACAAATTAGTAACAGGAATATTCGTGGAGGTAAAGGGCGGCCGGCGCTTGAGACTAACAACCTCATCGCCATCTGTGAGCCGATTGTCTAGAAAATGTGGAAGCCTCGACGTCTCACAACCTTTGGGCCTCCACGGCAGGCTACGAGCAAGCAGTTCAGTGAACTGCCTTCCACATCCTCATGCAGAATTGTAAGGGGCAGGAAGAAAGGAGAAAAGAACTTGCAACGAGGAGAAAGAAGAGAAGGAAATAAGGACGAGGAAATAGAAGGGGCGAGAAAAAATATAAGATTGAGGAAGATGAGAAGAAAACGACGAAGAAGTAGAAGAAAGAAGGAAAGGAAATAAGGAAAAAGACAATTTAAGAGAAGATAAAAAAGAAAATGGAGGATAAGAAAGTGGCAAAGGAAGATGCAGAAGAAACGAAGAGAAAATAAAAGATGAAGACGGAAAAGGAGGAGAAAGTAAAGGATGGAGGTAAGGTAAAGTTGTCTCTGTGCTAACTAACTAAGCACCACGCCATGAAGGCGTATGGGGGAGTGGATTTTACATCCACATTTTCTTGACCTCGGTACTTGTTGGAGGTGAATGGTCATCTTCACTCCCCGATCGCTTTACCCAGGGGGAAAGAGACCCGGTACCCATTGGATAGGAGGTTGGGGGGACCCCAGAGCCGGTCCGGACGAAGCGAAGAAGAGAAAATTCTTGACCCTACCAGGACTCGAACTCCGATCCCTCGGTTGTTCAGTCCGTAGCCCGTCGCTATACGGAATACACTATCCCGGCGGAAAGGAATGCGGTAAGGAAAGAAAATCACTGTTCTTTTCCGCCATCTACGTGCTTGGGTCTCAAGGGGATAATGCACCACATCAGAATGCCTCAGATAAACGCAGTTACAGTTTTCCCAGCTCTAACACAACTCTTAGGAAGGCCCTGGAATTCGCGTGTGTGTAGGGCTATTTTTTTTTGTATTGTTAGTGGATGGGACTAAGTCCCTTGTACTGCGGCTACTTCTGGCCTATTGTACCAGCCCCACATGATAGGTGAGGGTGATTGTGGAGCAATTGGTGGAATGAAGATTGACAGGGGAAACCGAAATACTCGGAGAAAACCTGCCTGAGTAACACTTTGTCCACCACAAATCCCATTTGACCAGACTCGGGATCGAACCCGGGCCGCCGCGGTGGGAAACCAGCGACTAACTGCTTGAGCTATGGCGCGGCCCTCGTTTAGAACTATATCCCTTTTCGCTGAACTAAAACAGCCTGCGAATGCCGGCCGGATTATATACAGAATGGTTCAGTCAGAATGTTAACATTTCGACGGAACTGATCTGCACGCATTTGGGAACATTTTATTATACAAACAGTGCTTAATGCAGCCTCAAATGTGGCAACTTTATAAACCCCCATCCGAGCCGTAATTTTCTCCTTTTCTCTAATATCCTCGGTATACTAACAAGGCTTCGTATATCTCTTGTAAAATGTCAAGATAAAGTTGTGTTTATGCTTAATTGAACACCAAGCATCGGCCCGCTTCATCTCCGCCGAAAAAGCCCCTGATACCCACTGGATATGAAATTTGACGGACCCAGGAATGGTCTGAACGCCGTGGAGAAGAATCTTTTGCTCCTAGCTGGAATTGAACTCCGGTATCTAGGCTGCCAGTCCTCAGTCAGTCGCTATTATTTTTTTTCTGTGGCGCTACAGCCCCAATTTGGGCCTAGGCCTACCTCCATGAACTCCGTTCACTTCGGTTTACTAGATCTTACACATTCGGTAGGACTCCTTGGGCGAGTGATCACCTCGTCGCAAGGCCTCTACCTGTAGACAAACACAGAAAAACGCACACAAACATCCATGCCCTGAGTGGGATTCGAACCCACGATCCCGGCTTCCAAGCGAGCGAAGACAGTACATACCTTAGACCGCTCGGCTACCGTGACCGGCAGTGTATAAGAAATATATATAAAAATTCAATTCGTACCTCACAGGAAACAGATCCGAACCCACGATCCCGGTTTCCGAGCGAGCGAAGACAGTGCATGCCTTAGACCGCGCGGCTACCGTGACCGGCAGTCAGTCGTCATACCGACTGAAATATGCAGGTTCCGCATATTACAACCTTCCGCAGTCTACAAAGTTTCGATGACCGAGGAGCTGCAATTTCAGCCCGTGGAGGCGAGGCAGTTTCTGCCGATAAGCATTCAGATTACCCAGAAAATTAATTTGAGACGCTTAGCTACTTAGCATAACATTCGCTCTTGGAATGACGGACATTCAAAATGAATGAACTGATGGACTGGTTCTTTCAGAGATGAATGGATAAAGGACGATTTGAGTTACCTGTTCGTAGGTTAATTGATTTATGGACAGATCAATTCATACAAGAACGAATAAATATACTGACAGAAACTAACGGATTGACTGAATGGCGAAATGATGGACAAATGGTTTGATTGGCTGATACAGAGATGGACGGCTAGCGTCGCAGCAAAAGTATTTACGAAGTACGTACTCACCTCGTAGAAGTAGAAGGAATTTAATTCAGGACTGGTGACGTTGAGTGCCGTCTGGTTGTCGTCGAGGGCAGCCTCCTCTGTCACATTGTCTCTTGTTGGGGCACTGGGCAGGACGGGGAACGTAGGTAACACGTTCAACAACGCGAGATCCTCCGTGTACACTGACATGTCCTCTCTCATTCGGCTCTGCGGTCGCACAATCCGACTGATGAAGCCCGCTGTGATTACAGAGCTGTTCTATGACGTCTCTTCTTCTTGACTTTCCTTCTGTCGGTCCGACTTCATTATCAGATGAGCGTGAGCTATCTTAGGAACACCCCAAGAAAATTATTTTCAACCTTCTGCATATTCCTTCCCACCGGTCATCTTGCAACAAATTTTTTTTTTCTGTGGCGCTACAGCCCCAATTGGGGCCTAGGCCTACCTCCATGACACTCTCCGTTTCACTTCGGTTTACTCGATCTTACACATTCGGTAGGACTCCTTGGGCGAGTGATCAGCTCGTCGCAAGGCCTCTACCTGTAGACAAACACAGAAAAACGCATACAAACATCCATGCCCTGAGTGGGATTCGAACCCACGATCCCGGCTTCCGAGCAAGCGAAGACAGTGCATGCCTTAGGCCTCTAGGCTACCGTGATCGGCTGCAACAAAAATATAGTCCCACCATACTAAGAACAAAGGGGTCATTTTTCCAATAAGCGAATTTTTTACAATTACTTACATTTTAGTAATATATTAATCATTGACCGAATTTGTTAAAAAACTATGCTTTATAATACCATTACATAAAGCACAGTTATGTTAGCAGGTTTAATTACAAAAGGGTATTGATGAGAATCTTGTGCATACAATGTAGGAAAGTTTGTGCGCAAATGAATTCTGTGTTGCTGAATTATTAATGTCAATATCTCATGTGTCAAGTTTCCCATCATTGGGGTGTGTTCCGACGACTGAGAAACATTGTGCGAAGCAATCCGTTCCCCATTGGCAATTCCTCATACTCACAGCTGCAAGTCTGATTTGCGTACTTATAAAAGTGGCACCCAATCTGAGTCATGCGCTGCATTCATAACACAGTATTCTGGGACTAACCACTCTATCGTTCGAATCGGACAAGCAATAGGGTGCAAATCATTCTAAGTGGATATAATACTGACTGCAATGAGCAGAATGTCCAGAAACCGAATGCTGAGATATGGGCGAGTGTTCGAGAAATTCGCGCACTGAGAAGGCTGCATGACGGTCCAGGAACCAGTGTGCGAAGAACTGAAGCTGCTGAAGGTATCGGTGTTCCCACTGTCTGAAGAACAGTCACTTTACCCATACCACATCCAGTGAGCGCAAGCTCTCACTCTTCCCGACTATCATGCAAGGGAGGTGTTTTGCCAATGACTTCTTGCAAATCGCGTTGTAAAGGCAGCATCCTGCTTAATGATGTGGCGGGATACACAAGGGACACGAACTTTCATAATACCCGTGCCTGGGCGGATGGCAGTCCTCCATCACCGTGGCATCAAGACAACATTGGTTATCCGTCAATGTCTGGGTGGGCATCTTAGGCGATCAGTTCTTAGGACCAGTTTCCTTACCCAACAGACTGACAGATGCAGTGTATCGCCCATTTTATTTTGGTGCTACACCGGTACTTTTGGAACATGCGTCTCTTCATCAACGGCAACAGATGTGGTTCACGCATGATGTGGCACCATCTCATTTTGTCCGCTTTGCCAGAGAGACCTGGAGCAGAATTTTGGCGAACAGTGGATACGACGAGGAGGCAGAGTCAACTGACATGCATGATCTCCCGACTTCAACAGCCCTGGGTTTTCGGCGGTGGGATCACTTAAGTACTTCGGTGCATTCGGCGCCGATCAAATGACTTAAGAGGTATTACAGCAACGAATGGAGAGTGCCTACCTGGGGAGTCGAGTAAAACTTTGGATTTTCGACAGACTGTGCACAACTCTGTGTGATGAAGAGCTGAGAGTTGTGTTGAAAGGCATGGGAACGACATAGAATCTCTGCTACAGATATCACAGGAACTGCGCCCATATCTCAGCAGGTTCTGGTTACTGGGCATTCGTTGACTGGGACTGTTTATGCTCCTTTAAGCGAGCACTATACCCCCCCCCC